GATTATAATGCATCTTTGGTGAATTATATATATTATAATATAATTCATAAAATATAAATTTTCATTATATTATATCTTGATATTGCTAAATCATCTTCGATAATTGAATAGTCCAAACAAGTTCAGAGAAATATCGATTCCAATTCTAAATTTATTTCATAAAGCAAAAAATGATTCCAATATTTTATCATTTATATTAGGATTTTCTTCCTATTCCTACACGCAAAAAAACGATATATTTTAGTCAATAATTCCTCCCCAATATATAATGATTTCAAATCATCAATTGAATCCATCCCTATACATAATCTCTATAAAGAAAATCCAACAAAATCATTCTTCCTATATAATATAAGTATATCATTATATATCCATATATTTCAAATTTATTTATATCATAAATCCATCATTTTTCGAAATAAGAAATATTATTAAATTCATTTCAATTTATGATTTATCTCGTAAATATAAGATGAAAGATTATATATTCTAAAATAAAGATTTGAAAATCTTCCATCAAGATTCGATTTTTTCGAAACAATGATTTATTTTATCATGATATAAATAATCACCATAATTCTATGAAGAAAAACTAACCAAATATAAGACTAAACCAAAAATTTACGCAGAAAACATAATATTCGAAGATTCGGCAATGCCATATTTCAATCTGTTGAGCACATGCATGGGCCAAGGGCCAGCGTTCGAGCACCTCCCGATCTTCTTCGTGTTGCCGGAGCATCAGCAACACGAATCCCATTGCCGAAGTTGCAGCAGCTCACTGCCAGGAAGCAGCCCTTACATGCTTTTCTTGGATATGGCACCCTGTCAGCGCCGAGCTAGGGTTGAAGAGGCTGACGTCGTCAGGCTGAATCCTCTAGTAAGGTCGTACAAGTGAAGGCACGGGGAACGGGCGAGCATGCTCTAGCTCTCCAACGTACACGCGATCTCAAAGAAGAGGAACAGGCCGTGCACCCTAGATGGTCCAAGCACAAACTACCTTGCAAATCAACACCGAAAAATCCGAGATGATAGCGGGATGACTGGGTGAGGACACGAGATTGAAGAAGACTGGCCATCGCAGCCGTGATGGACATAGCTCACACGGCAAGGGGGCATGCTCTGCAAAGGGTCGTCCTCCGCGCAGCTCACAGCCGCCCAGATCTCGCAGGCGACGCTTCCTGGTGATTTTGTGGCAGTGGCCGCAATAAGACACAGTGGAAGGGTGAACATGCTGTGGTGGGCTGGAAACCAGTGAGTCCGCCTTCCTGCACCTTCATGGGTCTTAGCACTGGACTCTTGAGGCACTTGCTGCCTGCTCTGCTTAAGGTGCGACCAGGACAGAATCAAAATGAGCAGTCTCCTCGTGCCCGACTCTGCATGCTTTGGCAGGCCGAAGGCCATCCGCGTGAATCCTCAACAAGGAAAACTGCATCAGCGATGTGTCAGGGACCTGCCGGCAGATGCCGGGCAGGCCTGTGCCTGCACGTGGTTGAAGCTTGCCCCAAGCGCGGCACGGATGGATGCAACCCAAGAGCTAGCCAAATCCTCAGGTCACGAGTTGGCGCCTGAGTCAGCCTCTTCGCTCTGTGGCGGCGCTTGTTTCCCTTGCATGACCTCAGTTTATGCATGAAGGCCTGTTCCTGTTCCGGCTTCACACACACAAACAAAGGCTATAGATGCACATTCCCGCGTGCAGGTGAAGGCACGCATCGTAATCTTTATGCAGCTCCCTGCCTCAGGCTGATCGTCCGAGGATGTCCGAGGCTTTGTCGCAGCACCGACATCAAGGGATCTGGCAGTGCCAGGACTGGTGGGCAGACTGCCGAATTGCTGCGCTCAAAGGCCAGCGTCAGGCAACAAACCGGGCAATGACACCTGTCCTGGAGAGCATGATTTGAAACAATGTCGCATCTGTCCGAAAGCCGCTTGGCTCTGTCCAAATGCCGCTGGGCTCAGCTTTTCGAAAAGACAAGTTCGGACACGTGCTGAGGGGCAGTCTGACCCCCTGCGCCATTCACACACGAAGTCACACATCGTGCTTGTAGGCTTTGCAAGCTTCCAGGCAATGCCAGCTGAAACTCCATGTTTCAACACCATGTCGCGTCTGTCCACAAGCCGCACGGGACTGTCTGACTCCATCTGCCATTCGCAAACGAACATCCTGATGTTTGCACGGGATCTGCCAGGACTGATGGACAGACTGCCCAACGCTATGCTCACAAGGCCAGCGTCAAGCAAAATGCCAAACAATGCCACCTGTCCAGGACTGCATGAATCAACAGAATATCGCATCTGTTCGAAAGCCGCTCGGCTCAGCTTCTCGAAAAGACAAGTTCGGTCACGCGCTGGGAGGCAGTCTGACCCCTTGCACTCACGCACGAAGTTCGCATCGTGCCTGTAGGCTCTGTAAGCTTCCGGGCAATGCCAGCTGGGACTCCATGTTTCAACAAAAGGTCACCTGAGTCCACAAACCACAACACCACGCAACTCGAAATCCAGGCTCTTGTTTCTTGAGGCATCCCCTTTGGTTCGCTGCCTGCTTCGAGCAGGACATCATACCAGGCTTCGTCAAGGCACTGATGCTGGCATCGGCGGTAGCATGCCCAGTGCTGCACTGAGAAAGCCAACGTCTAGCAAACTGCCCAGCAATGCAACCTGTCCCGGGTTGGATGATTCAACACAGCTGCGTCTTGCGCATCGGCCCGACTTCCCAAACGACATGCCGGAGTGCTTCGAGTGGTCTTCGGGTCGCATGCGACTCAGGCTCCTCTGGCACATCCTTTCGCAGGTGAGGAAACGATCCTCGAGATTCGAGCTGCTGAGCCAGTGTGCTTGCGACAGCTTCGGAAGGCATGCGCCTTCAGCTTCAATGGGGCGACGTGGTTGAATCAGAAAAAAATGCTATGGAAGCAAGTCCGGCGGGCGCCAGTCTTTCGAGGGAGTAGCAACGACAGAATCGTCGGGGAAAGCAGCGAGCCGAAAGCCGCCCTGCTGGTGCCCTCACATTCCGGAATGCTTCCTGTGATCTTCGAGCTGCTGCTGCTGCTGCTGTTGCGAGCCAAACGAAGCGAACAAAACCCCATGCATCACTTCTGCAGGCCTCCCGACCTCAAATGACCTCAGGCCATTCGCTCGGGAAGGCCTGAAAGCCGCATGTTGCGACAGTTGCGGGAATGATGCACCATCAGCTTCAATGGCGTGGACGAAGCAGACGAAAAGTATGAAAACGCATCCGGCATGCTGTCGCCAGTCTTTGTGAAGCCACTATGAGAGAGTAGGAACGATAGAAGCCGTCGTGGAGGCAAGCCCAAAGCCGCACAGTCGGAGCCTTGCTGCTGCCCTCTTACACCCCCTTGCGGCCGCTCGCAGAAGCAGGACGTGCTTGGAGGCTTTGCCGCGCTGCTCGCACTGCGGGGGATTCCGGGGGATGGCAGACGTCAGGAATGGCTGGCAGAAGGTCACGACCTGCCATGCTGCATGGAGTGTACTACAGGCCGATGTCATACAAACTGCAAAGCAAAGCACCGTGTCCCCGACTGGATGATGTCCAGCCGCGGCGCCTCGTTCTTCCAGCCGCTATGTGCGGAATCACACATGCTCCCATGCTCCTTTCGCACGAGCAACAGGTCGCAGCGGCCTTCTCCAGGAGCTCATGAGCCTTCTAAAAAGAAAACAGCAATCCTGACTTGGAGCCCTCGACCTGCGCAAACAGCAGCACGGCGTGCTCTGGACGCAAGATGGCACCGGGGGGAGGGTTCGGAGTCACAGAGCATCACCAAAAAAACAGGCTCGAGATCTCGAAAAGCTGGCAGTCTACACTGTCCGCACCCGAGCTTCGGGGATCCACGCAACCGACAAGTGTCGAACGAAGGGCCTGTGCCGAGAGGAAACCTGAGCTCGATCTTCGTGGCAAATCTAGAACTCCACCGGACCTCGCCTCTTTAGCCCAAAGAGGCCCAGACCAAAATCCGACGCAGCTGATCAAGGAGGGGTGTTCAAGGTGTGTGGGGCATGCCTGCCGATAGCCACGCAAAGCCACATGCGTCGTGCGAGCATAGTCTCCCAGCCCAATTTCTTCGGATGGCCAGCCTGATCCGAGCGAAGTCAGCAACGCGCAGCCAAGACGGATGTCTCGACCCCCGGTCAGAGTCTGCCCGCAGGTCAAGCCACAATGACCCGCCCTCGACAAGACCTACTTGAGAGCAGGGCGAACGAAAGATACCAAATTTAAAGCAGCTAGCCCCGAAGACGGCGCAGCCTGTGCTTCTCGGCCAGGGCTTATACGTGCAGTTGCCGCAGCAAAGGGTTCGAACTTTGGCAGAGTTGCAAGCCGTAAGCTTAGACTGCCTGGCAGAATTTGTTTGCGCTTGTTGCGGAAACTCGGGTGCAGCATGTCCTTGAAAAGAGGGGGAGGGGACTCCCCCCACTCCACCCCCTTGCGTTCCGGGCTCTTTCGATGGGCCCCCGCCCCCCCCACCGTTCTGCGTGTGACCTTGAATTCTTGAGATATTAGGCCAAAGGTCCCCAAGCTCTGTTGACAAGAAGGTTGTAAACAAAACATCCCGCAAGCTCCAAGGAGACAGCTCTCGTGACTCGTGACTATGAGATCGAAACAAAGGAGTTTCTTTTCCACTACGAGAAAAGAGCCCCTTTGCACGTCAGTAAGGTCGTTTTTGGATGGCACCCCATCCGTATGTCGGGGACGGAAGCGCCATGCGGCGTCGCCCAGTGGAGGTGCAGACTTCTTTTGGGAGAAGGCGAGCGACTGCAGTCCTTGCACCCCAGCTGGGAAGGGGCTCGGAGCGTGCGGCACATGGGCCAGCCGCGGCTTGTGTCGTCATGGGGATTCATGGATTGCTCCAAGGTGCATGTGGAAGCTGTCCGACCACTTCTGCACTGAGCTGCTCAGACTGTAGGTGACACCAGACTGTGGTTGTGCACACACGCGCGAGACTCGTTGAGAGCACATGGAGCCGTCCAGCAGCTAGGAGACGCCGATGCCTCTCCGGGAGTCTCGCGTGCCAAGTGAGGTCTCGGAGACCCCGAAGGTCCTCTTCTCAGCCTACGAAGATGTTGCTAGCACAGGATACAGAGGTGAGGACTCTCAGCATCTCTCAGCACTCCCCACTGCAGGCGATCTGTTGCCTGCAGCCAAGGGTGGGCTGCACATAGCGGTATTCGCTTATCAACCCCCTTGGGAAACCCTCGTCGTCTCAAGGCAGGAGGTGCGTGCTGTGGGTGTGCAAGGTTGCGAGCTGCGAGCTCAGGATGACTGCGACAGAGGTACAGAACGGACACATGGCACAGGAAAGGCGAAGGAAGACATCCACCCAAGCCTCCGACAAGCCTGGCCCTACGAGTACTGCAGACGCGGACGCACCACGCAAAATCTCGCACGTCGGTCAATGCTCCGAGTCTCAGAGCCTCTTCTGCCTCTGCGAGGGAGATCGCGCACAAGGGCCGGCTGCCCCGACGCTCTGAAAACGAGTCGCACACGGGTGATCCGCAGCTCTCGGCAGAAGCGAAGCTGGGCAAGCGGTCTTTTGGCGCAAGGGAAAGCGGAGTTCACATTGAACGCGACCAGGCAACATGAAGCCAGCTACGACTGGCAGCGCTGGACAGTCCGGGGGTGAAGCGGTCTTTTGTCGCGGGCTCGGTGCTGCTCACGTTGGGTGTGGCTACTGCACGACAAGGCAACATGCTGGCCAGCGTTGAACGGTCTAGGAAACACTGTCACACTTAGTGAAAGAGTGGCGGCGCGAGTCCTGCAGCTTTTGCTGAAAAAACGTTTCGGCCGACTCCGCAGGCCTGTCCTTGGACAGGATTCGATGATGCTCCGTCCGCCAATGCACAGTAGACCTAGGCCTTCCAGACTCCACTAGTGTCGCTCTAGCAGAGGCACGGCACGGATCACTGCCACGGCCGCATTTTGAACCGGTGACTTAAAACTAAGGACTTGGACGGAGGCACGGAAGGGACATATAACGCACATGACCCAGGGTACGCAAAGGAAGACATGCGGCCAAGCCTCCGGCAGGCGTGGCCCTACGAGCACTGGAAAGTCTCTTTTAAGGACCTTGCACACCCGGACGCACTGAGTCAATGACATTTCATCCACGTCAGTCAACCCCCAAGTACACCCCAAGTACAGCATGAGATCCCCTTCTGCCTCCGCGAGGATCGCGCACAAGGGCTGGCTTCCCCGAGGCGCTGAAAACGCATCGCACGCGTGGCATCCGCAGCCCTCGGCAGGAGCGAAGCTGGGCAAGCGTCATTTTGGCGCGAACTCGGGGAAAGCGCAGTTCACATTGAGCGCGACCAGGCAGCATGAAGCCAGCTGAGTCTGGCAACGGTTCAGCTTGGGTGTGGGAGACAGGGCTAATTAGCCCAGCAGGAGAATGCCGAAGCAAACTGTTCGACATGGGCATCTCTTCGATCTCTCGATCCGCGGGGAGTGCGCAAAGGCCACGTTTGACTAGTCGGAGTCGGCACCAGCCATTGGGGTGCCCCAGAACGGGTGGATGCGTCCGCCGAAGTAAAGCCAACAACGATGGCTTCAAACCGAAAAACATGCTACGAGCAGGTACGTATGAGACTTGGCCCCTTGCTGGCAGAGTCCAGACGAGCCTGGAAGTCACGATGGCGGACTCAGCTTCGATGCATGAGACCAGAAAACACCGCTTGCTTGACTCTGCGTGGAATGCGTAGTGCTTGCGTGCGGCCACGGAGCATGATGACCACCGGTTGGCCAAACGAATGAGTCTGCGGAAGTAAAGCCAGCAGCGACGGCTTCAAACCGTAAAGGACTCGAGGCATGTTGCCTTGACAAGACCAACAGAGTCTAGTTTCTGCAGAGGCCACAATGTTGGAGGGTGCAGCATGAATGCATGAGACTGAGATGGAAAGCACTGCTCACACTCTGCATGGCTCCGGCGCGGCCACAAAGGGAGTGCAGGGCCCAGCTTGGCGGAAGAATGTCGGAACAAACCGTGAAACGTGTGCCTTGCAGACATCACGCCGCGAGGGGCCAACAAACGCATGTGCGAAAGAGAAGCCAGCAGCGACAGCTTCAACCAGAGAAACATTCTAGGCACGGCCACACGTAAACGAGATCTTGGGGCACACAGCAACTTCGCGCTCCGGGCTGTCGGACGTGTTGGGTGCTCTTTGCTGCGACCAGCTGGAGGGCATCTGCAGATGTTGCATGAGATGTAAGGCTGTGTCACCAAGGTTGGGACACTGCACACCTTCGCATGCCTTGCTTTCCTCATGCATAGTTTCCACACCTGCAACGGGTGCGGCATGCCCGTCGTGAATGCAAGCGGCGCAGGCCTTGTCTCTTCTTGATGGCCCAAGATGCTCAATCTCCTACAAATGCCGTGATCGGACACGTGGTCGGACAGGCTAAGGGCGATGCATGATCGTAGCGGTAAGCAGGAGCAGCGCTAGAAAACCCATCTCTAGCAGTATCAGTATTAGCAGCATGGGCATCTAAGCACCTCGTTTCAGGGCAACCGGCCTCTTCAGCAGTACAGGGGTTCGCCGTGAGCTGTTGCTCACAGCTTGCTGGTTCTTAGAAGACTGGGCTCACGAAGTGGCACGGGCAACATGGACTTCGTTGAGCAAGCGGCAAGGCTCACAGGAAGTTGAGCAAAGTCGGGAATAGTCGGGAAATCATGCTGACATTGGCCTCCACAAGGTTTCAACCGGAAAAACATTCTAGTCACGCATGAAACTTGGCGCCTCGGTAGCAGAGTTTGGCTGGCCGCGACCTCTACAGCACAAAATGCATGTTTTTCGCGCTGCTGGATGAGCGGTCTTGCACGGGAGAATGCTATAAAACGAGGATTCTGCAAAGCTTATTATGCGTGCCCATGCCTTCCCGGAGTGCACTGTGCAGACCATCCTGCGCGAAAGGCGCGCCTCGATTTCTCTACGCCACCTTTTTTGGCCGCGGCCACATGTAAAAGAGAGAGTGCGACCTCTTGGGGCACACAGCACCTTCGCGCTCCGGGCTGTCGGACGTGTTGGGTGCTCTTTGCTGCGACCAGCTGGAGGGCATCTGCAGATGTTGCATGAGATGTACGACTTTCTGCTGCTCAAGGCATCCAAGAGGATGACGCCGGGAAACTGCTGAGCCGGAAGGTCTGGAGACAAAAGTACTCCGCCAAAAACTTGGACAAGGGCCACGTTAAGCACGGAACATACAAAAGCATCCACCACTGCCTGGCTCAAATCTGAGTTGAACAACTCATGGGTCGCCTTGCAGCGATTCCGAACTAACTGGACTCTGCCTCTGTCCCCTGTAACTGCGCGTCGAGCCGTTCCTACAGACACCTCCAAGCCAACAGGCCGAGCAGCAACACGCGCCCAGCCGCCATGGAAGCTGCACTTAGCTGGGAAAGCAAGCGGGCATCGGCCTGCACGAGGCCTCAGTCATCCATCAGCACCATCAACAAAAATCGCGCCTTTCCACGTATTCTCAAAGCATGGGCTTGATGCAGCTTTGCCGGGGTCTGCAGGACCCCGGCTGTGACGGCTGTGCGTCTCAACGCATCAACGCAGCAGCAAGTGCCAGCACAGGACAGCACTCGACACCTTCAGGGGGAGAGGGCAACGCACTCACAGGGCCCAGCAGATTCTCACACCTGACAAACGAAAGGCCTCCCGGACGTGCTCAAAGCCTCAAAGCGGTTGAAGTCACAAGCTTCTTCGTGAAGGGTTGATACTCAGGGCACGGGGGGGCCACGTGGTGCTGGATGCAGGATGTGTGAACTGTGGCGAGCCAGTGGTTGGTGGCGTCGCAGCGGCTGATTTGGCACGCCTTGCGTGTGCAGGCTGCCCTGATGCAGCAAGGCGAACGAGGCTGCGAAGGTCGCCAAAACTAGTGACAACTCAGCCCAGCTCATCAACATCGGAGTTGTAGCTCGAGCGGGGCCTGGTGCAAGGATATCTGCAGGATTGGTAGTCAACTCGAACGCGCACAAAGGCACGCTTCGCACCCTCTTACGCGAGACGAGTCACTGCACATCCACCAGTGTCTGGCTCAAATCTGAGTTGCGCATGAACAACTCATGGGTCACCTTGCAGCGATTCCGAACTGGACTTTGCCTCTGTCCCCTGTAACTGCGCGTCGAGCCGTTCCTACAGACACCTCCAAGCCAACAGGCCGAGCAGCAACACGCGCCCAGCCGCCATGGAAGCTGCACTTAGCTGGGAAAGCAAGCGGGCATCGGCCTGCACGAGGCCTCAGTCATCCATCAGCACCATCAACAAAAATCGCGCCTTTCCACGTGTTCTCAAAGCATGGGCTTGATGCAGCTTTGCCGGGGTCTGCAGGACCCCGGCTGTGACGGCTGTGCCTCTCAACGCATCAACGCAGCAGCAAGTGCGTGCCAGCACAGGACAGCACTCGACACCTTCAGGGGGAGAGGGCAACGCACTCACAGGGTCCAGCAGATTCTCACACCTGACAAACGAAAGGCCTCCCGGACGTGCTCAAAGCCTCAAAGCGGTTGAAGTCACAAGCTTCTTCGTGAAGGGTTGATACTCAGGGCACGGGGGGGCCACGTGGCGCTGGATGCAGGATGTGTGAACTGTGGTGAGCCAGTGGTTGGTGGCGTCGCAGCGGCTGATTTGGCACGCCTTGCGTGTGCAGGCTGCCCTGATGCAGCAAGGCGAACGAGGCTGCGAAGGTCGCCAAAACTAGTGACAACTCAGCCCAGCTCATCAACATCGGAGTTGTAGCTCGAGCGGGGCCTGGCGCAAGGATATCTGCAGGATTGGTAGTCAACTCGAACGCGCACAAAGGCACGCTTCGCACCCTCTTACGCGAGACGAGTCACTGCACATCCACCAGTGTCTGGCTCAAATCTGAGTTGCGCATGAACAACTCATGGGTCACCTTGCAGCGATTCCGAACTGGACTTTGCCTCTGTCCCCTGTAACTGCGCGTCGAGCCGTTCCTACAGACACCTCCAAGCCAACAGGCCGAGCAGCAACACGCGCCCAGCCGCCTGGGAAGCTGCACTTAGCTGGGAAAGCAAGCGGGCATCGGCCTGCACGAGGCCTCAGTCATCCATCAGCACCATCAACAAACATCGCGCCTTTCCACGTGTTCTCAAAGCATGGGCTTGATGCAGCTTTGCCGGGGTCTGCAGGACCCCGGCTGTGACGGCTGTGCCTCTCAACGCATCAACGCAGCAGCAAGTGCGTGCCAGCACAGGACAGCACTCGACACCTTCAGGGGGAGAGGGCAACGCACTCACAGGGTCCAGCAGATTCTCACACCTGACAAACGAAAGGCCTCCCGGACGTGCTCAAAGCCTCAAAGAAGTTGAAGTCACAAGCTTCTTCGCGCAGGGGTAATACTCAGGGCACGGGGAGGCCACGTGGTGCTGGATGCAGGATGAGCCAGTGGTTGGTGGCGTCGCAGCGGCTGATTTGGCACGCCTTGCGTGTGCAGGCTGCCCTGACGCAGCAAGGCGAACGAAGCTGCGAAGGTCGCCAAAACTAGAGGCAACTCAGCCCAGCTCATCAACATCGGAGTCGTAGCTCCAGCGGGGCCACTGGTGCAAGGGTATCCGCAGGATTGGTAGTCAACTCGAACGCGCACAAAGGCACGATCCGCACC